TTCAGGCTTCCAGGGGCTTCTGTGCGTGGGCGAAGAAGACGCCGTCGACGTCGTCGACGCCGGTGCGGAGGGCGGGGGGCATGGAATAGGAGCGGAAATCCCGGAGGATAAAACCGGCCCCGGCCAGAGCCGAGCGGACGTCGTCCTCCCCCAGCGGCACCACGGGCAGGCGGGCGGCCCCCGCCAGGTAGAAGGACTCCCCCAAAGCCCCCAGCAGCAACGCGTGCCCCCCCGGCCTCAGCAGGGACCCCACGTGGGTCAGAGCCCGGGCGAAGGCGTCGAAATCGGGGCTGACGGCCTCCAGGCAGAAGGCGGAGAGCAGCGCGTCGGCCGGGGGGCTCAGGGGGGCTCCCAAGGGGTCCGGCCGGTGCACGTCGATGGGGAGGATGCGCCGCAGGCGACCCCGCAGCCGGCGCTCCTTCTCCTGCCACGGCTCCCTGCGGGGATGGGGGGGTGTCAGCGGGGGCAGGAGCCCATGGGGAGTTGGAGGGATCCCCCAGGGGTGGGAATGGGGTCCTGCAGGGATCGACCCAGCATCCACAGGGAGGTGGGGGTGGGATCCACCCAGCACCCACAGGGAGGTGGGGATGGGATCCTGCAGGGATGAGGCCAAAGTCTGCATGGATGTGGGGACAGGATCCCACAGGGATCAACCCAGAAACACAGGGATGTGGGAATGGGATCCACCCAGCACCCACAGGGATATGGGGATGGGATTCTGCAGGGATGAGGCCAAAGTCTGCAGGGACGTGGGGACAAGATCCCACAGGGATCAACCCAGAAACACAGGGATGTGGGGACAGGATCCTACAGGGATGTGGGAATGGGATCCACCCAGCACCCACAGGGATGTGGGGACGGGATCCTGCAGGGATGAGCCCAGCACCCCCAGGGACATGGGGAAATGGTGCCATGGGCAGTTGGGGCTGGGATCCTGCAGGAAGCAACCGGACATCCCCGGGGACACAGATGGGATGTGGCATGGATCGGGGGATCCCGGTATATACGGCATCTGCAGGGACATGGGAGAGCATGCCACAGGGATCAACCCAGCACCCCCAGGGAGATGGGGGCAGGATCCTGCAGGGATCAATCCAGCACCCAGAGGGGCAGGATCCTGCAGGGATCAACCCAACACGCACAGGGACATGGGGCTGGGATCCTGCAGGGATCAGCCCAGCATCCTCAGGGATGGGGAACTACGATCCCATGGGATTTGGGGGACAAGATCCTCTAGGAATCAACCCAGCATCTGCAGGGACATGGGGCTGTGATCCCATGGGATTTGGGGACACGCTGCTGCAGGGATCAGCCCAGCATCCGCAGGGATGGGGCGCTGTGATCTTATGGGTCACGCAGCCCAGATCCCACCCTCACCCACCACCTGGGGTCCCCCCCCCGTGTCCCCCCTCCCCATATCCCTACCCGCGTCCCTCGATCTTGCAGACGTGCTGGATGAAGGGGCTCCAGTCGAAGGTCCCCGGCTCCCCCCGTGCCCAGCGCCCCAGCTCCTCCCGGTTCACCGCCAGGTAGTCGGTGGCCACGATCTCCTCGAAGTGGTCGCAGGCGCTCAGCAGCTGGTAGATGGTGGGGCCCGAGCCCACGTCGATCAACGTGCGCCCACGGATCTCACCTGGACATGGAAAGGGTGGGGGGGGGGGC